CATTCAAAGAGGTAATCTCATATAAAATATGTGAGCACACAGCATGACGCAAGTGACGGATATATACAAACACCTACTCAAGCAGTGCGTCTGACTACAGAAAGAGGAAATGCAGTGCCCACTCACTGTTACTCCGCCTTGTAGTGAGCTCTCGCTGTTTAGAAAGACGAGCAGAGCACAGGCTTGACTGCCAAGTTTTTACTCCAGGATTTATGCAACATGTCCAACCTTTTAAACCGTCTCTGTACGGATAAACAGTGTAGTAGGCTGGGTTTAAACACATTTATCAGATAACTATAATAGATAAGTATCGATAAATACATTTATATATTATATCTATCTGTCTGTCTGTCTGTCTGTCTGTCTGTGTGTTCATCCCTTCGTCTGTCTCATCAAGTCACACAGTGGAAGGTGGACTCTGCTGTGCTGTGATGTAGAGCTCAGTGTGGGGCCGGGGACTGCTAATACTCAGAGTCTTGGTTATTGCATGCCCCCGAACTCACCAACCCCTGCAGCACCTGAGGAATCATGACAGATCCCCAACAGGCTGTATAAGTGTGTGTACCAGCTCATAATGGCTGCATTAGATTAAAGTAATGGCGATGGCTGCGTTATGGGCTGATTTGATAAATAACCCCTCAATCATGTTACGCTCTGGGTTAGTGTACTTAAAGTTGAATAAAATGTCTATAATGTCCCAACTCTGAAGGATGTCATTGTAAGTTCAGTCCAGACTCACAGGAAAGTTCTAGGTTACGTACCATCCCTCCCTGATAACTCTTTAAACTCTGTATAATGGTGGCCTACAGCTGCTAGAACATTCTGAACTTACAAAATCAGAGCGACGAAGAAGCCCCAAGGACTAAGGACATGTCCATAAGCGCTCTTACAACAGTAATATTATTTAAAGGGGCCGCACTTCACAGCAAGCAGACATTACATGGAACATACATGACATAAGAAAATATACACAGTAGCCACACAAGGCCACCTGTGAGCTAAGCACTCATCCTGTTGCAAAATGCACAACACACAAATATGACACGCGCACAGACCATCAAGTCAAGCCCTAAACATTTAACAAATGTCAATGGTGCATAACTGTTATACTGTAAAAAGTGTTATTTTTGTATACTGCAAAAGAGTTATTTGATTATAATGAGTAAACTTTGGGGGTAGCTTTTACAACTCTGAGGAGTATGCCTGTATTTGGTGGTTATCAACAATGTAAACTTAAACCTGGATCTCTTCTCACAGGAAATGATTGTTGATGGAGCTGATTTTACACTACAGCTGCCGAATTGTTGACTTGCATCTCTAGCCGCTACGTGTCATAGTATAATATATATGTAGATATGTGCAATCAATAGGTTTTCATCTGAGTTGTATCATCTCACAGAACATGCAGAACTTGTTTATATTACTCATCAATGGTCTAAACTTTAAACTGGCAAAGTCTTTTAAAAAGGTCTGTTGACACCTCAGGGCTTGACCCGCAGCTGCTGACTGTTTAGTGACCCGCATATACTTCCCTTGTAAACACACACAAATCTGTGTCACTGCACATGATGGAGTTTTACATGATTCACCCAAGAATATCAACACAACAGGCAGTTGGCGTTCACACAGTCATTGTTGCAGCCTGCCTGAGGGTGGTGTTTGGAGCACAGGGTGAATGGAAAATGCTAAAGCTGAGTCATGAAGAACCCACAGCTGTCATGCATTGCCACCTGGTGGATTGTATACTTTATAGTGGAACAACGTCAAATTGTCCATGTAAAGTACACAATGTTGACTTGACTCCTTAATGCACTGAGATGAATATGGAGATATGTTGCATGTGGTTTACCATACTTTATTTAATTCTCATAACAGTATGATTATTTAAAATTAATTAAATCTGAGGTTTAGTTTTAAAAATTGAAATGTCTGATCACGCTCTGTGATTACGTAAACAAAGTTGTTTCTTTTTGTACATTTTCTGTAGACATCCACTTCACCTGTTTTTCCATTAGATTAGTCAGAAGTATTTCAAGTGTGCATTGGATTATATACATTTTAATTTTTAGTTAAATATATATCATTTGATTGTTATCATAAACCTATTATTTGTGCAATTATGTCCAGCCTGAAGTGTTTGATCCGATGCTCAGCATCATATAACTGTGGATGATGTCTTTTTCCATCCATTCTTAGTGTGCACAAAAACAGTGAATACCCCGTATAGAAAGGGGTTTTTCAACAAGGGCATTTCCACTTCCTTATTTGTGCAGGGATGCAGGTAATTATCTTGCAGTTCATTAAGTGTAATATTCTGAGGTGGCGTAACATACAAATCAGAATCAATGAATATGCAGCTGTTGTGTCCATTTGGTCTGAAACATAATTGCTAATTATGAGGAGCTTATTAGTATTTTTAAAATAGGTTTGCTCTCTCTCAGTCCCTCTAATGGAATCAGCTGAGTGGGCAGTTGCTGGACAATAGCAAAACTAGTGTAGGTGTGGGCCAGTGTTAATCAGCCACATCCGTTTTACACTGTAACAATGGATTGTGACCCTTTGTCAACCACCTCTCCATAAACTACGTCAGAGGATAACTTGTTGACCTGACAGCGTCACTCATTAGATGAGGACCCACGGCTTCCTGAATACATTGTTCTGTAAAAGTAGGCTTCTAGTGGGCTTTCAAAAGACTACTGTAATCATAAATCAGCTGCAAAGAAAAGAGTGATGAGAGATGGATAGTAATGACTGCTCTCACTTACTTCTTAGAAGAAGAATCAATAATTTTGTTGGGGTACTTATGATTCAATTTAGCTCATTCTGTTTTCCAAACACAGAAGTGTTTACATGCTGCGACAAGTTTAGAGAGCAATATGATCCCAATGACAAATGAAATGGGACAAATATGTAAACAACAATAGCCTGGACTCTTAACAGAAACCCACAATCCATGAGTGAGCAGGGTTGATGTAGAGTATACGTCACAAAATAAAGATGTGCAACATGCAAGAGGAGCAAACCGATTCAGCAGTACCACCTGCAATGTTTAGTGTATGCGCAATGAGTGCACTTGCAGAGTGTGCGTGGAAAAGCAAGCAGGTAGACGAGCAGTAATGACGATGTGACTTGATGAGAATTTCAACAAATAAAACAAAAAATGTGTTTGAAGAAGATTAACAACCTAAAATGTATGCATTTGTGTGTGTTTTGTGGTTGAGAATTTATATGCGTAATTACGAGTTTTTTTGTAAAAACCAAAGTAACCGTAATCGCCATTGCAACTCACCAAATGTGGCATCCAATGCAATGCTGGCAGCTCTCACGGGCACAATAAAGCTGTCAGACCCTCTCCTTTGGGTCTATGTGAATAGGCCTATTGCAAGGTCCAATATATGAGACATCGTCATTCCTCATAGTTACAGGTCTCACCTTATTTTGGCAGTTAGCTGAATGCCCAAACTGGACAAACAGAAAATGTAGCTGCATACACAGTGAAATTCCTTTTTAGAAGACAAACCAGAATGGTGCTCCCTCCACACAAAACAAGCCTTCACCCACCTGTCACACGTAAAACTTGATCGACAGCAGAAGCTCAAAACAAATGCTGATAGCAAAAACACATGACTAAGTTTCTTTTATGCTGCAGGAGGACGCCCATCCCGTCCTGGATCAGGATGAGCTAGGAAGCAATTTATCGCCAGCGCCCTGTGCATAAACATCTTCATCTTCATTCCCTGACAGCAGCAGCTAGTGTAGGAATCACCTTGAACTACTCATAACCGTTAAGTGTCTTCTACTGTGCACAATATAACACCATGGAACTTTTTCACGACCCTAACAATCAAAACAAAACATCAGAAAGTTGAATAAAATTGTCTTTAGCTGATATGAGTGTAGAGTAAAGTCCACCTTTACTGGTGCCTGGCCAAAGAGTCAACCTATTTTTATTTTATATGATCAAATATGATGTGGTTTCGCAGTCATCCAAACCAGGGAGGGAGGGAAGAGGAAGGAAAGATGGAGTGGATCTCAGTGGTGTGAAAAAAGTAGTCTTTTGAAGGGTTCTTTTGCCCTCTGCTGGCCTGTTCACCAAAAAACATAACTTTTCAAATATATTTCTGAAAAAGACTACTGTACACAATTATATTTAGTCAAAATCATTATTTGGTATCTAACTCTTAATTACCTTAAAGAGAGATATTTTCACATGGAAATTCATTAGTACTCTCTTATGATATTGGTGGATGGAAATTTGAGTAGAAAAACTTTCACAACAATATTAGAAAACCTTGGCCATGGTGTTTGAACAAGAGTGATTAGCTGTATCACGGGCACATTTGTTAGGAATCTAATTGTTTTCTTAAAAAAATTAAACATGGATAAAAAAGGAAATATTGGTGACATTTTGACCCCACCTTATAGGTGATTTGTCACTTTCATTACTTCTCTTAAGACACTCCAGTGTTTGGTATTATTATTAGTGTAAGTATATAGTCTGTATGTGAAAATGATGCAGAAATGATGCAACAGATTGCTAAAATAAAATTATCATATAGAATGATATAACTAAAAACCTCACTAGTTCCATTTAAGGGCATTGTGGCCACAATTAAAAGCTGTTATGGTAATATGTAATGTCAAAAATGTTAATGGTGATAAAACCGAGGTTTTTAAATGCCATAGCTGCAATAAACAATATTGAGGCGAGCAGGAAATCAGCTGGGATGTCCAGAGAACATTATGTTATTTTGTCATTGTGTGAGAGGGTCAACGAAATGCAACGATTCATGTTGGAACTCTATTGGCAAATTTAATATTTGCATTTGTGTTTCTTATGTTTTAACCCTACGTTACCGTTTATAAAAGATTGCCGTTATTCTGATCAGCGGTCAGTTTGAACGGCGTCACGACTAGAACGGTCACCTGGATCTCTCATTGGCTCAGAGCGCTGATCCGGGTACTGCGCTAGAACGAGCCCATTAGCTGAAGGTACCAATATGGCGGAGGTAAGAGGGAAAACAGGGGAGAAGCGATCGATCTTAAATCGATATTTCTAAGTCTTGTGTGTTGTATTTTTCATTTCTATGTTATCGATTGAAGACATAATAGTTTTTTCCTTCTGTATGGCGTGTTTCATGTCATAATTGTCATTTTTATTCCTCTATAAAATGCTTGAATGTCCGGACTGATCCTTCACTACAAGGCCGCTGCGCCTCGCTCGCTCAGCTGCTTTGGTGTAGCGGCTGTGTAAATTGATACGTAAATTTTACGTTAGCTTGCTAGTTAAAGGAAATAACAGATTATATCGTGTTTGTTGTGAATGGAAATGTGTCTCTTCTAGTCGGGCTAAATTAGCGGAAGAAATATTATAAACATAATTTTACTCTAACGATTGCAGTTCAAAGCAAACGAAATTAGTGTTTACATTTTTTTTCGATGCATAACGTTAACGGTAATCTTTAAGGTTAGCTTGCCGGCTAGCAAACTGTAACTGTAGCAGACACGTAAGTCTTACTGTACCCCTGAAGATATTCCTCTATGTTTTTACTTTGACCGCCTCTTACCATAGGCGTCATGTTAATTCCAGGGTATTAAGATACGGTTCTCTTACAGCTGTCCTTAGTGTTGAGCGTTCATCAGCGGCTAACATTTTATTAGCCACCTATTTTAGGTAACGTTAACGTTAGCGGTAACTATTCTCGGTGGTCATCATACACATGATTAAAGGCCTTTCTTCATTCCGCTTGATTTGTGGTTAAAGTGCTGGCATCGTAGTTGAACCCATGTGTCAACTCTTTCACTCATTTAACGTATGCTCTTGTTTTATTCTTTTGCAGGCTTCCCTAGGGAGTTCAAGTCCAGGTAAGAAGATGATTAGTATACACATTGTATGTTGTATTAAATGTATCTATTTTAATGACATATTTGCATAAATTTAATGTCAATATTAAGTTGTATTTGTCATATATTTTGTTGGATAAAATGGCTTTGAAATTGACTAAATTCAATGCTTTTCTCATGGAAACATAGTAACTGTGTCAATGTATCTTTCCAAGTGTGAATCATTAAAACAAAGCTAATCTGTGCTGTAAGATTTTAAACATTTAACATTATATTTCTCCCTCAGTTGGCTCTTTATCGTCGGAGGACCATGACTTTGACCCAACAGCAGAAATGTTAGTTCATGAGTATGATGACGAGAGGACTCTCGAGGAGGAAGAGTCTCAGGAGGGAGGGAGGAATTTCAGCTCAGAGATTGCGGATCTTGAAAAGGTAAAGTAATCTGTGCACGAAATGCCCTGAAACAGGATTTACAAATGTAACAAATTAAGTGATTTTTAAAATCGTAAAAAATAAGTGTGCTTATAAAAGATTTGCATTTATTGTTAATGCAGAAGCCTGAGTCTTGTCTCCTTAATCCTGCAGGGCTACAAATGTTGACACTGGAAAAAGTGTGCTATAGTAACAGAATGTCAATGGCTTGTGTTACCTTTATGATGATCAGGGGACGCCGTCTTGATCATAGCTGCAGATGTTACAATTAATAAAGGTCAACTAAGATGTACATGCACATTCCATTATTGCATTTATAAATTGTCTCTTGGTGAAAGTGAATAAGAGTCTTATCAATACTAAATTCAGTTAATTGGCTTTAAACCCCAGTCGGCTGTTTCGGTAATTTGAATTGCACATTACATCAGTATTTTAAAAATGTTGCTGTTTTTCTACCAGGAGGGGAACATGCCTTTGGAGGAACTTTTGGCCATCTATCGCTACGAGGCCTCAGCGGGCTCCAGTATAGACAGCTCCTCTGGAGACCTGACCGATGAGCTGCCTGACATGACTCTGGACAAGGTACATATGTGCTCCTATGTGGTGAATAGATGGATTTGGGGAAATTCTTTTTTTGAAAAATTACAATATATGAATTACAATACCTTCAATATGTAATTCAAATATTCAGTTGATCCCTGTTGGTCTGCCCCGGTATACAATAGATCGGACGTATTCATTAATAATTCAACGTTGTCCATTTAGAGAGAATTTCCTCATGCAAAGGTCCAGAACATCACAGTAATGTCTAACTTGCTCTATGATTTAATCCCATATATATATATATATATATTCTTTTATATATATATATATATATATATATATTCT